GCTCTTTGGGACCCTGTGTGGTACAGCCCAGGAACAGGCAGGAGAACAAAATCAACTTTTAGCTTTGGTGTTGAAAATACCTGAGCAAGTTAAGTGTTCTCCTCTAGAAGCAAGAGACTGTAGTAACACATGATTTGGTGTTGTTCAACGTCTTCTCCAACATTTACATTTATATTACAGTGATTCCAGTATTACAATTTGATCTTCTCCTTGGCTGAACATGTGGCCTGTGAATTTAACAGCATCACTTATAAACCAATGCAGTATATAAACCACAAAGACACAAACTCCCTGTCAACAGATACCTATGCAAATCTTCAGCACACTGATTGTTCTATTAGTTTTTTTTTAATGTTACTTTTTCTACCCGAGAGTGGAGGGAGGGTTGTGGAGAATGTTAAACAGTGTAGATACTAAATGGGCTGGTAAACACTAGATTTTTTTTTACAGAAACACAGGTAACTTGCCCCTACTTCTCAGTGCTGTACTTACTCTTGTATTCCCCACACATTCCCAAGGATTCCCGTTTTCAATGATAGCTTCTTTAAGGAAAGGCAGAAAATAGGGCAAAAATTCTACCCCCAGCACCAAAGGCAGTAAGCTCATCCTCCCCTGCCTCCCTCACTCCTGTAAAACCCAAGAACAAGTCCTCTAAAAAGCAGCTCTTATCCCCAACTAGTTTTCACTTTCAACAACAACAAAATTTATTATCAAAATAAATACCCAGTTAATTGAATAATCATTTCCCAAGAGAAAGTACTGTTTTCAACATCCAGTGCTTGCTCTAAAAGCGATCCACAGAGAGGATTTGCAACCTCCTAGCACAGGGATAGTTGTTACTGCAGCCTGACCAGACCTTGCCTCTAGAAGGAATGTCCAGGACCTGTCCTTGTCTCATCAACACCAATTGTCAGTGACTGGCCCCAGAGACTCAGTAGTTTTGGTAGGTCCCAGACACAGCAGCCTGATTTAAACCAACAAATCAAGTACCAGGAACTCTAGGTGCACCAGCCCAGCCCCACTCTGCATAATCTAACCTCCCCTTACTCAAAGCAAGTTAAACTAGCACACACAGAGCTCCATGCTATCCTACCCTCCCTCTGATACTTGTTCTCTGCTTTATTGGAAGAACCCTCAGGTGACCACAAAACCATGTAGAGACATACTATTAACATTTGAGATGATGCCAGGTTCAATCAATATGTATTTTCAAATGCTACATTTTAGCAAGGTGTTTCCAAGAAGTTGATAATCAAGAAATCTCTGCACTTTTTCTTTGTAAGACCCTGCATGCTGCACAGCCAACTTTCTAGATCTCAAAATCCCTCAAATCAGACTTAGGAGGGATGTACAGATCTCTTGGCTTAGTTACTAAGCAGGCAGTATCTATTCACAGAATCACACAGAATCACAGAATAATGAGGTTGGAAGAGACCTCTAAGATCATCAAGCCCAACCTGTGCCCTAACACCACAACTAGACTATAGCACCAAGTGCCAAGTCCAGTCTTTTTTTAAACATATCCATAGATGGTGATTCCACCACCTCCCTGGGAAGACAATTCCAGTATTTTATTATTCTTTCAGTGAAAATTTTTTCCTAATATCCAACCTAAACCTTCCCTGACGTAGCTGAGGCTGTGTCCTCTTGTTCTGTCAGTGCTGCCCGGTGGAAGAGACCGACCCCACCTGTCTGCAGCCTCCCTTCAGGAGCTGTAGAGAGCAATGAGGGCACCTCTGAGCCTCCTCTTCTCCAGGCTGAACAACCCCAATCCCTCAAACGTTCCTCACAGGGCTTGTGTTCCCAGCCCCTCTCCAGCCTCGTTGCCTCCTCTGGATTTGCCCATTAATCTTTACTAAGCCTCCCACTTCAGTATAACAGTTTTAAGTACACCACAAAGCAGGTATCTCTCATGATCATTTGGCACTGCTGACAAACAGCATCCCCCAGCACCCACCAATCTCTGGAAAGATACTCCTCTGCTCAAAAGGACATATGCCAATATACACTCCAGTGCCATTTTCTGTATTGACTGTGTGGCGAAATTAAAATTAATTTCTTGCACTACTCTTTCTAACCCTGGTATTATCATGATCGCTGACTTTTTGTGCATAAAGAAACGTAAAATTCAAACTTTACCCTGACAGAGTGGTCTGAAGAGGCAGCAGCAGCAAATCCTCTGCAAGCCACATTAACATCCATGTCTGCACAGCATGTTGGGACTACACTTGACACTGCTGACCACAGTAAAGTGTGAAATTGATTTTTTTCATCATATTTACATATTAGTATGTAGGGTTTTTTTAAAGTATTTCACATCACTGTAAGTGACCCACTGCTTCTGAGCTGCAATGGAAGTGAGGCATCCACCTCACTTGTGTGACTGAAAATTTCAAACAGAAAAAATGACAGATATAGCCAGGCTTGTTTCAATAAGCAACAATTACTTAAAAATCCACAGCTGAGAGTCCTGATCCTATTGGTACATTACTCTGTCAATACTCTGTGCACCTTTTCAACTGCATTGAACAACTTTCACTAGTACATTCATCAAATGCTGAATCCTTGATAATTATTTACCTTCTGTCATTATTTTAAGATATCTATGTAAAAACTAGAATTTCTTTCAAATTAGAGGCAAATGAAAGGTGTAACCATTGAAAATCGCAGAATTTTCACTTAAAACTATAAGTATCACCTGACTGCAGCCACTAAAATTACTCTGATTACCTCTAAACACAAAGATTTTCCTAAATTTCAAGCATTCCTGCAAATAGGGGTATAAAAATACATGTCCTGAAGCTCACACATTTTGGCAGGACAATGGTTTATGCTACTTCTTTGTGGCAGCTGCTGAGAACACTCATCTCCATCTCATCCCATCATCCCTGTCACTAGTGAGGTGCAGGTATTTTACTGGACAACACCCTAGTGGCAATAGGTCTGTAAGTCAAAAACATTTAAAATCAATTGTGTAGCAAGTTCCTTTCATCAATACTATTTCATATCAGGCATGGAAGGATTTTCACTTCATTCACCTTATATGGCTATTACAGATATCCCCATAACACAGGCTTAGAAACTTTCCCTATATCATAATGACAAGTACATACACCAAGTGGCATGGAATTTTAAATTTCTTATAAGAATTGAATTATTTTTACTCCTAGTATCTGTCTACTGATTAAGAAAGCTACCTAATCTTAGGTAGCTGTTTCACCTAGTTCTACTGAATTGCATTGTTTCTGTTGAATCTGTTTCACCTTAGTCCTGCTGAATTGCATTGTCTGTCCACATAAACAGCACTGTTCACATTCCCAAAGATACCTGGTTAATATACATATTTTTCCCCTCACTCAAAAAACCGAAAATGGACATTAGCTGATTTAAAATAAAATCTCTAAACACAAATCAAAACAGTCAAAAGTCTCAAACCAACACTTTGTGGTCCACTGAATCAGAGAAAATCACTTCATCTTATTACTGTTTCTTTCAATGTTCCTTCTGCCAACTAAAACCCTCCAGTCCATGGATTTCTAAGGCAGGCCAGGGAGGTTTTTTAAAAATGAGACTTGGAACTCAAAGTGTAAGGTTTAACAAGCATGGGGATATAACCACAGGTCTCAAATCATGTTTTTGAGGAGACATACTTGATTGCTTGCTCTTTTGCTGTGCTTTACATCCTGATCACAGAATGTTTCAAGAAAGCACTGGCCCATCAACAGGTACATGGAAACAAAAGCAAGAAAAGTGGAATAAGAAATCCATCAGCCTAAATAAAGATTGGAGCATTGGGAAAAGAAAAACAAAATTTCAGCCTTATGTTCTATATACTAGCCAACACGGTCTCACAAGTTAAAATAAGCTATTTCAATAATTGCCAATAATCCCCCAACTCTGACACTTTTAATAATGTTTTGATTCTTCAGTTCCCAAAGTAAAATATCTCTGCAGTCTCGCTGAAACAGCAGAGAATTCCTCTGCTTCTGCAGTTCCTCAGCCCTGTGTCCCACCTCATGTTCAGCATTCCCACAGTGTCAGTGTGAATGCTCAAGTTGGAGATGCTCACTGCCAGTTTGTTAACTATGAATGTCAATTATCACCAAGTTCCTGAATGGAATCACCCCGATCTCCATTTACAGTGACAATGCACATTACAAGCAAATTACCACTGCTTACTGAAAATAAAGGTCCTGTTTTGCTGACAAAGTAAGAATGCTTGAATTTTCTGTCTGGAAGTGAGATTCTTGAAGACAGACTCTTGTTCATTTACCAGAATTATTCACAAGTTCAAGAAACACAAAGGAAGGTGTTGAAATTTTGCCCTGACTGACTTATCATCTGACTGCATGCCACTAGCAAAATGAGTTTATTACCTTTATTTTCCTCTAGATCACGTAATGGTCTCGTATAGAACAGTTAGCTCCTGCCACCTTGTGGAAACCCTTCATGGGTTTCCCTGAAAGCTTCGATCATCAGTAAACTAGTGAGTTAAAACAAATAAACATTTGGGAGTTACTTTTCTTGTGATTCGTTCTGGTGAATGTTGAAATAAGAGAGAAATATTTATGGAGAGGATATGCCATTTTGAGTATTTTCTAGTTCATTATCCCTAGCATTGTTTATATAGTTGAACTGCTGGATTTAGTAATGTTATAAAGGGTGTTTTAAATATTTAAATATCTGTCAAGAGTCCCAAGTTTTGGAGGCTGATGCGTCCAAGTTTAAAATAACATTATGATCAAATACTTGTCACCACTAGCAAATTTCACATATTCAAAATAGATTCTGCATAGAAATAATACAAATTTAGACTGAAAATCCTTGCATTCAGGTGCAATTTTAAAACCAAATAATAACCTCAGTCTCAAAGAATTATGTATATGCTTAACTTTTTATATGGTGATAACATGTCTAGTTCTCCCAAAAGACCCTATTCCATGTATTTACTTTTTAACTGCAATTTGACTTCCTGTTTTGTTTTTCCTCTCCTCATGCAGCCACTTCTATCATACATGACCAACTTAATTAATGAGTCAAGTTCTCCAAAGAAGAGTAAGACAGTTGGAATAGACTTTTCCACCGCAGGAACAAGGTGAAGATGCATGGACCCTCATCCTCATGTCCTACATGTTGTCTGCTGCCCCTCTGACAGGCAATTTGTCACAGCTACTTTGTAGAGATGCAAAAGACAACAGCAGCTGCAATCACTGGGAAGGGATGAGGGTCTCTTTTCATTAAAGCCAAACCTCTGCTGTTCCAAATATCAAAACTGCAAGTGCACAGAGGACTGCAGATGATGACTCCATGAACTTAATCAACAACCTCAACAAACCTGCTCCTGTCTGTTCTGGAGTCAAGTGATTTGTTAAAGATGCACAAAAATGCAAGACCAGTTAGGGAGCACTTCTTCCCCTCCCACCATCCCACAGGTGTTTCAGTGAACTTGGGAGATCTATCATGCTGTGAACTTGATGTTAACAGTAGCAAACTTAACTCCTTGGAACTTCTTTCTGCTAGAGAAAAAACTGTCAACAGACTTGAAACAGGAACAGTTCTTCCTGATGTCAAAAGAAAATCATCTCTACTAAAGGCCTTTAGTAGTTCATAAATGGACTCAAGAACAATAATTACAGATCCACAGCCAAAGGAAATACAGCAAAAATATTTTTTTAATCCATAAACAGAATAAATTTTTGCGCAAGACTGAAACAGTAACAAAATGTCAGGCTATGAATCAATTTACACAGCATACCTAAGAAACATAAATTGTGTGTTCTTAACTTCAGAAGTGAGGTTGTTTCTGACAGCCATCATATTCCCTCACACACAACTCCTTATCTCTTTTTATATATTTTTAAGGTCCTAGTAGCCACACAATTAACTTAAAAGGGAAAGCTCATAGTAATCTCTGACCACACCTCTGCTCCAACACTGAGAATCTCTCCCAGACTGAGGTATGTCAGTGCCCTGAGTGTCTGGAAGGCACCAAAACACTCCTCTCACAGCTGTCCTTACCCATCCCAGTCTCCACTACAGGAAATCCAGACAGACAAACTGGTAGGGAGCTCTAGAAGAGTAATGAGTCTGGATGATGAGGGAATCAGAACCACAGAGCATATTCTACCTGACCCCAACACAGCCAGCACCTTGCAAGGACAGGACAGGCAGCACTGTTCTCTACCTCACTGGGAGTATGAGGAATACAGACACTTCCTTACCCAGAGCTTATTTGCTTCAGATTTTTCCTGCTCTGGAGCACCCTGAGGTTATGTCAGTCTCACTGTAACTGCAGACATGTATCTAAGAGCCATCTACCATCCCTGGCTACAGAGAAAAAGAAATAGCACGCCCCAGCAATGGAGTGGATCAGATCCAACACCCACTGCAGGTCTCAGTAACACTGTATTGCAAAAGAAGTAAATACTAGGACCTTGTAGGAAATTTCATTTTGATGCAAATGAATCATATCCTGACATATCCTTTTATTTTAATTTTATTTCCCTACGAGTCCTATATTCTGCAGTGTTATTAATCCAGCAGGAAGATCCCTGAGCTAACTTTCTGCATGCCCATGGCAGTCTAACTGCAGTACCAGAGAGTTGAGCTTGCATCTTATTCTTCAGGGTGCTTTGCAACCAGTGGAAGCATAAACACACTCCTCATACCCCAACTAGACATGCTCTCTTTGCTAAGTGTAACTCACTGACCTGACAACACAGGACTCCCAAGCAGCAGCAGACTGAAAAGTACCTGATGATTTTCCAGCTCTTCCTGAAAGTATTGCACAGTATTCTGAACACCAGCAGCAAAAGCTAGCCTGCTTTAACTTCACTTGAAGTTGTGAGTTCTCCAAGGAGACAAACATCTGGTCCAGGTCAAAGAAGAGTCACGACATGGCTTGAGCCTGGTTCCCATCTGAAACACTACTGCCTAGCTGTCAGGATAAGATTTGTGTTACATTTTCTCAGAATATTTATTTTTCTACAAAAAACATTATTTGACTTTTGCAAACTTTTGTTGAGGGAACTTTCCAAGAAGTTTCATAAATTAATTACTACTTTCATGTACTTACTGGAGAAAGAAGTATTTAAAAACAAACAAAAACCCACAAAACAACCCAAACACCACTGGGCCACTTGCTCCTTCTGTTTTTTTTATTTTATCTATATTCTTATTGATCTACTTTTGCTATCAACTGTTTTGCCTTACATTTCAAGGAGAAAAGAGAAAAGTTCTTAATCTAATTGTCTTATTTCTTGAGAAACACCTCTAAAAACCACCCAGGTTACAGACTTTACAAACTTCTGTACATAGCCTGCTTTATGAGATTTCCAAGAGGAACCTCACTGCTTCATAAACCAGAATACACAATCAGATCCATCTTCACCATTGTTTCATTGATGCCAAGCCACAAGAGCTCACCCAGAAGTGTGCACGTGCCCGAGGATTTGTGCCAAAAGGTCTCAGAGCAGGATCAGGCCCCTGTAAGATTAGCTGCATGTACAGCTTCAATCCTGCAACTGCAGTAGCTCAAGGAGACTGCTATGACAGAGGCATTGCAGGACTGGGCCCTAAAATAATCAAGTATATAAAGATCTTTGTGCTCCCCACAACTGAAGCACAATTCTTAAAAATGAATGGAACAAAAAACTTTTGTATTTGTGAAATAAAAATCAATTATTCGGACAACAAGCAGGACCAGCATTCTTCAGGACAAGCTTCTTAAAATCTATAGGCTGTTTTCCCATTTTTTGTTTTGTTGGGTGTTTTTTTTTAGAATTTGTTTTCCAGTTGTTTTGGGGTTTTTTCTCTAGCAGACAGAATTACTAGAATAACACTGCAAGGCCCCTGTCCTAAGCCCAAGAGATGAAAAGATTCAGTCAAAAGATGCAAATTTGTTCACATTAAAAAAAAAAAAAAGCCAGCAGTTAAAAAACCTGATAGTGCTGTCTGGAACTGTAGAGCAAGGATGGGAGATAACTCCCTTGGGATCTATAGTACAGCATAGAGATAGATTTGAAATCAGAAGGTGAACAAGATATTAAGAGTTTTCTGTAAATCAAATTCTGGTATGTATAAACTGAGAAAACAGAAGTTTTTTAAAAGGCTACGTGCACACAAGTGCACAGTTCTGAACAGCACTAGCCTAAGAAATGAAAGCCCAAGATCCATGGATCTCAGTCTTACCTGCTTTGAAAGACAGTCAGTTGACATGCTTGCTACTGACCCAAAACTAAACTACAAGTTCCAATCTGGCACCTGAATTACAAAGTACCCTGCAAAACCCCACACTGCCACACTGCCGACTTCCTTCAGGGCACTTGTACCAACCCTCACAGCAAGAAGCCCTGGCTGAAGAGCTGAACTGAACACACTGAAATATCTAGGCAGAGACAAAGCCTGACTTTACAAAGTCCTTGTGAGCTACAGGATATTTTAACTCATTCTTAGAACCAGCACAAGTATGTCTCTATCACCTTCACGCATCTTGTACAGCAAACAAAACATCCCTATGCATCCTTGCAAAAGTAATTTTCAGAGAATTAGGAAAAACAGAAGGCAATATTCACACAGCACTATGTTAAGAAGAGACCTTGGCTTGGAAGAGCAGAAGATTAGGCCCAAAAGCTCTGCCCTGCAGGCAGCACAAGCTCTTAGATGTGGAGGAAGAATCCTGAACTGAATTTGGATGCAAACAGATTTCTCAAGTCTAAGTTCACAAGTACTCAACCAGTAAGCTGGAAATCGACAGGTAACACTTCATCACCAATTTTTCATCAACCAATAAAGGAAAGTAATGTGCACAGGGCAGATATTTTAGTAACAAAGAGGTAGTTGGTGTAGTAAGTTTAACAGTCCTGTAAGAACTTCCAGGAAGGGCAGGAATTCTGTACTTCATTCTACCACCACTCATCTTGGTCTTACCTGAATATCCCTGGGTCTACTCTGCAAACTGCAAAATGGGGGTGGGTAGCACTGTTCTGAAATGTTTGTAAAATGTAGTTAGTTATGTCTTTAAAAGCACACAATAGAAGAATAAAACATTATTACACCCTAAACACACGCTGTTTAACAACAAAATATGTAATATATAAATGACAATACTACTTATGTTCTATGGGACACACTCTTAAAAGATTTGCTATATACCTGTTTAGAAAAGGAATTGTTTTGATTCTCTGGTAGGATGGACCTGAAGTCCATTTCCCCAGTGAAAGAAGCAGAGAAAGATCTTTTTCTAGATCTTCACAATCAAAAAAACTGAACCTCAGTGTAAAATTTGCCCCAAGTATTATCACACAACTACAATTAATGCAACTGCCAGTTTTCCCTGACAGGACTAACAAAAAAAAAACACCAACAAATGTGGACAATTCTTCTCAACTTTCTGCCCTGCTACACACTAACTAGTTTTTCTTTCAGAAACTGCACAACACTTTACATAGGAAGAATCTATTACCACCCCACATTTGTAAATGGTGAAACTGCTTTATTTGGTCTCCATAGCTGAAAAGGCTGTAGTGGCATACTCAACCTTTATTTTAAGGCTACTGTATACTTTCAACCACATTTGTAAAACTGGGAAACTCATGCCAATCAACAGTGTCATTAAACTGGTAAAGTACAGATGATCCTTTCAGAAGTCTCAAGGAGACAAGGAGATCCATAAATTGTGACTTGTAAGAAAATCTTTATCTCCACCAAAGTCTGTAACAAAGTTCTCACTGAACTCAGCATGGCAGTGATTACACCTAATGGGGTGCAGCTCCATTAGGGCAACAGCACAGCTCTTTTTTGGAGGGGAGATGGGCAAAATCAAACATATGGTAAGCTGCCCCCATCACTTTTGGTGTGTGGGAGAAGCACTTGGGGAAGCAACAGAATCTGTTTTGCAGACAGTGCACAACATATATGATACTTTGCAAAGGACATTCCTCTGAAGTTTACCTTACACAAACTTGAAGTGCTCAGGCTAAGACAGTGCCCCTGCTTCTCCACTCCCTCTATGCTTGGCTAGAGCCACCACAAAAGCAGACTGCTTGGCAGAGACACTGCTTTGGTTCAGCACTAGCAGAAATGCTTCTGGTTCCTCAGTTTAAAATTGTTCCAAAAAAAAGACTGGCCCATCATCTAAATGTGGACTGCCAGTTGATTATTTCACTAAGTTCGTCCATCTGAGTAACTCTCCAAAGAAAAAGGAAAAAAGTGAGTTTTAATTGCAGTGATGGGACACCACTACCACCATTACCCACTGCCACCTCATCCCCTGCCCCCCAATAAAAAATAAAAAGTAGTGAGGGTGTCTTATTCTTCTGGTCATGTGCTACTGATATAGTTTCAGCGATATTTTAAACACACGCTTCTCTTAACTGGTTTTGCCACAATCCCCCAGACTAACACAACCAAATTCTGTTCAGCAGCCTCAGTGGAACTGCACAAGCTCGTATCAACTCTGATTTCAGACCAAAGTGAATTTTGCACCCAGATTTTTTAGCCTGACCAGTAGCCCAGTTCAGTGTAACCTAGCAGGAGAACACTGCTCAGCACTTGCAGATTAACAGGTTTCTCTGAGACATTTCAGACAGAACACTGTCAAAGACACAAATTCTCCTGATAAAATCTTGGCTCCAATGCTTATTTTCTGAAAGGAAGGAAAGCCTCAACATTTCACATGACTATAAGGGGAGGGGAGGAAGACTCAAGT